GTAAACCTAGAACTCCTAAAACAGTTCTATAGGGTCCACATGGTGCCGAGCATCATCGGGTCCGCTTAACCCGCAGGGCTCATGCCTGCTGGGCGATATGAGATTTGCCACTGTGATGTAATGTGTACAGGTGCGCGCCAGGCTGGTTGTCGTGTTTCACTTTCAAACGTCAAACTGTGTGTAAATAATGCAAATAATAAACATACATGTTTGTGGACAGTTTTATTGACAAGTAAATGTCGCGTACCACAGCGCACAGCTGAAACAATTTCCAGATTATCATACTTCCATGACAGCTATAACTCAAGAAGTGTTTCATCAGACAGTGAAGACATATCAAACAGTTCGCAAACCAGTTTAGGACAAAATGCACAGTTTCCCGCGATAGTACTCCGGGCGTTGGTGAGAAAAACACAGACAATGCTATTGACTTACTTCAATTGATAACTACGCAAACGTTGCATCTAACAGGGTGATACCACTAATAACGCGCAGTTTGCTACCCGGCTTAAGAGGACATGTTGCTAAGTTTCTCGTGGCTTATGATAGGGCTCTGGGCGGTGGTGAGGAAGGCACAGACACGAACTATATTGTCTATCATATTCCTATACTGGTGGGGTATGCCATCTAAAATGGTGTAATACTTCAGCCGCTGAATCGCGCGCTCAACGTGCACGCGGGCTTCGGCAACTTCCCTGTTGTGCATCACCTCTTGCTTGGTGAACTGAGGCTGAAATAGATACGCAGGTGTGTTGACGGTGACGCCATCAGGTACAATGTCCTTGATAGGAAAACCTTTGTCAGCCAGGATGAGGTCGCCTGTGGTTAGCTGCTCCAACAGGCCGCTAGTCTCCACGATGTGCTTGTCAGAGGCATTGCCGCCGTAAACGTCACTGACAAAGTTCACAGTGCCATTGGGTGCCACCCCAACCATGACCTTGAAGGTGTTGGCAGCTTTGTAAGCACTGTAGGTGCTTGAGCGGCCCTCACAGCTATCAGGTCGCTGAATCCTAATTTCTGTGCAATCAAGTGTCGTCCTGCAGTGCCTGAACTTCCTGAACGATGCTGGCATAGATTGAGAATTCTTTTCTCTACTAGGCATACCCTTCCCAAAAATAGGCTTGAACAGAGCCTCAGCGAAGATGGACACAAATGTCCTGAAGACATTTGTAACGGTGGCTACACTCTTGTTAAATCTCACGCTTAGATCTGTGTGCCCAAAGTTGTGTCGCAGTTTCATCAACACCAGGAGAATTTGGTCCTCTAATGTCATCGTTGTGACCTTGAAGGTGTGGTATGTAAAATCACACATGCTCACATATGTGACTAGAGTTTCAAACATTGCTCTGCTCAAACTAGTATAGTAAGTTACTAGCTGTTCGCTATGGCTAATCTGGTTGTAGCAGAACCTCTGCTGCTGATAAGCTGCTGCAGTTTCAAGTCGTTTGATATGCTGTTTGAGAAGCTCGTTCTCGGCAGACAACATGGCCTCACTATGCACAGGTGGTCCAAGGACAGCATCTTCCATTTCCACAGCTGCATCTTGTCTTCTGTTTCCAGGAGAAGAGTGATGGGGTCTGGTATCATCAGGCAAGTTGATCCGCTTCCCTTCATTCCATGGAAACCTCACTGGACCTGCTTTTTTGCCATTAGGGAAGTGCCACGAACAGATCCTTGTGTGTTCGGTAGGGGTGAAGTTCTCCCTCCTGCAACAGAAAAAAGGGATTACATGATGATTTAGATTAGGCATGCATGATTAGGATGACGCAAGTTACAAGCCCTTCAAGTAGAAAATATCCACAAAAACAGGTTCATGCGATTGTTTCTGAAATGAAGCTTGCCAGTTTATTAATAATTTTCAATTTGAATGTTACAAAATGTAAATGTTTCAATGTTCATATCCAAAACATACAACAGACTTGGTAAATATATTTGTGCTATGACTACTGTTACTGCTATTTATGGAGTACCTACGCACCATGCACAAGTGATTGACGATCAAGGCTCTGAGTTAACCTTGTGAATCATTCCGTAATGATGCCAAAAATAAATATTTATCATTATCTGATATTATATACTCTATAGCTTTTATAGAAATAGTTAACAATAATTTGATGTTTTTATTAAAAGGTAAGATGCCATATTTCCCTTGCACGATTTATGGAAAAGATTTATGATGGGATTTATGAAAGCTTGACATGTAAAATATGCTGATTCTCAAAATTCTTACTAACCTTATCGCACCAATGTAGCGTTGACGGATCAGTTTGTTGCTGGGAAACCTGTAGAACGCATATTTGTTTTTGTCCCCTGACCGGTTCGTACAGCCTGGGACACAGCAATTCACCATCTCGATGTTCAAAGCTTAAAACAAGCGTGCGTCTTGTGATAGCTGACCTGAGGTCTGAGAAACACAGTAGGTATATCTAATTAATAACCCACTCCAATTCACTACCTATTCACAGCTAGTACATTTGCCCATTGGTGCCCGTGTTATAAACGTAATGGCGCAATGTCTTACCTGCGCCAAAATCGCACAAGTTTTTTTAATTTAGCAGCCGTGCAAAAAAATCATGTTTTTTGTGCAAATCAATGAATATAAATGCATTTAAGTCGACCAAAATGACAACTTAATACCATTTCCATTATTGAAACATGACATAACATCGGTAAACGTCCCCAAATTCTTGCATTTTAGTTATGAATCGTTTGGCCTATCTCTACAACATTAGCGCAGTCAGCTGTTGGAACCGTGACGTCATCACTTAACAGCCCTATGGAGAGAAAGATGCCGGATGAGACAAAGTACCGTGGCCGCGCGGGACCAACAACACAGCGACGCTGAGCTCAAGGCATACGGTCCATTGGTTTGTTTGCCAGCTGCACTCGAATGAGCTTGTACTCAGGGAAGTGTTCCAGAACTTGGACGGCAAAACCAGTGGACCCGGGTCCCGGATCATTCACGGGGCCGTTGGGCAAGGCAGCCGGCGGCTCCGTGCACCGTCTTTCTCCCGTGAAGTTCCGACCGGTGAGCGGCCCAGAGCTGGATCTGCCGGACAACATCATCGCCGACCTCAGCAGCGACAAGCTCCTGCTGTATCAGCTCATCAGAGCCGTGCGGACGGGCAACATCTCTGCAAAGGAGGCCTGCAAGAAAATCGGTCCCCTGAACCATGCAAGGTAGGCAAATGCTAATTGAGTTGAATTCAGTTTGCTATTGAATGGCAAAGATGCATCTTTTCTGTGTAACCGTTGTCTAAATAGAGGATACTGCCTCGTTTGCATTGCTTACATCCGTATTGACAGCGTCTGTCGACGCTAACAGGCGAAGACGCGCGCGGCTGGTGTTAGTGTCATCAAACGCATTACGCCAAACATGGAGACTGCAACGCCGGGCGCCACGATAAATCCCGAACTTCTTTCAGCCGGCGCCGATCGAATTTTCGATGCACGGGAAAAAGAACTGCACCAATGGGTTTCCATAGACACAGGGACAAGGAAAATCAGCGGAAGCGCTTGATCTGTTTCTAGTGACACACCCTACTCACCATGGCGCCTCTCCCATCCAAAGTGAACTCGTCATCGTTGTCGACAGATGAGAACCCTGGCGACGGGCAGTCCGACGACCGTCACCCCACTCCGAAATGGCGACTGGGCGGGGCGCGCTCCGCTCCTTGTTTGGCCTTGCGGGCACGGGGACGCGGGGTTGGAGACGGGCTGGTCCTGGAAGGTCAGGCAGACAGGCTGGATGGACAAACAGACAGATCGGACAGATAGACAGACAGATTGACAGACAGACAGATAGACAGACAAACCGAGTTGTGGTGCTAAGTGGCCTGTTTTGCTTCGTGGCAGTTACGTCAATTAACGAATGTAGACGGATGTTTGGTGCCAGGGCTCCTTTCGATGACCTGGGCTGCGAAGGGCGGCGCATCCTCTTTCTATTGAACCGTGTCTTCGCTGCCTGGGGAGCGAACATCGCCTCCGCCTGCCCATCAGTGCCAGCGTTGGGAATATGATGGATCTGCCCAGCGCCTCCGCAGCTATATTGGGGGTATGACGCTGTCGCCTGGTCTGTTTTCCACCCATTACGACTGCTATATATAACAGCCGAGATGTCCATCTCGATGGGATTATGAGATAGCTTATGCCATAGACTCAAGGCATAATGACGATTCAGATTGAGAATAGATGGGGTGGGGCTGGTGGGATATTGATAGATAATTCTGGGACATGCTGCTCATACCTACATGATATAGCCATTAGCCAGTCTATGAGCTTGCTGGTGGCTAATGCTGTCCGGCTATTATGGATGTGCGTGCACACTGCACGCATGAATGTTCATTGTACAGTGTGCACTGGTTGTTTCACGATTTATGCTGTTTTTTCCTTACAATGGAACTCGTTGCTACATGGAACACGTCAAATTTCACGTTTTTTTTTTACCGGACATATAGGCATCCAAAGTCCAAAGAACCAAACTTCTAGCGTTCGTTCTTTGCACGTTGCTTCTGTTAAAAAACAACTGTTCGTTCTACGTCCATCCGGCTGGGTAATTCGACATCCGGGAAATGGGAATGACTAATTACGTGACAAACTAGCTGCTTTGCTTGGATCTCCGGTATCCTGATGACGTCACGACACCGATCGAATTTGTCTCGCTCTAGCTGTGTCTGATACTGCGCCGTGCTCAGACGTCCCCGGACAGGTGCTGCCACCTACACAGGTGACCGACGCGATGGGGCGCACTCGCGGCGGCATCGCTGGGCTGGCACCTGACAGGGTCGGGTCGAAAATGGGTGCTGACTGCTGAGGTGTGCTCTTAGACTGGTGTTCAAAAGTGTTCCGAGTGGAGAAATGTCGGAAGCGTATGTCGCACCTGATCCTGTGTTGTGTATCGTCTTCTGACGTGGGAATGCCGAACAAATGTTGACCTCCCTGTAATTTGTCAGCACATGTGTCACGACCTGTGACCTGACCTCGACCCCGTCTGTCCTCAGATTGCGCCGACGGCCAAGAAGCTCTGGGGCGTCGACGATCACGCGAAGGAGGACAAGGGCATCTTCAACATTGGGGAGCAGACGTGGAGAGAACCGTGGAGCACGGGACACCCGCCCAACCCTGGTGAGAACGGGACACGGGACGGGGTGGGGAGGGGTCTCATAGCCGGCTCATATCGCTAGTGAACGGGGAAAGAAAATAGGGTTAACACAGCCCATTGTTGTCGGCGCTCTCAAGCCTAAACAGACATGCAAACGGACAAACAAGCAAACTGGGGAGCACTGAGACGAATGGGTTTTGATGCTGTCCGGAGAGATCCCGTCCCTCGAATTTGGTCTGCTGCAGTTCGTTTGCCGTGATTGGACTTTGGCAGGTCTGCGGCTAGAAAGCCGTGTCTATGTGTAGATGCAGATGGCCCCCGGCCACTGCTCGCGCCACCATCGCCCGCATCTGCTCCCTGCCACCCCTCGGTCACCTGGCCACCTCAGAGACTTGGCCGTGGACAGATCTGTATTGGACCGCTCTGGATCCCGTCTTCGATCATTTGATTGTTACTGCAAACACATCCACACAATACGAGCTCGAGTCAAATACCAGTTGGCACGATGCAAAATGGGTCACAACACAGCTCGGGTCCAAGAACTCTGTTTAACATTCTACAAGTAAGTAAATAAATCAAGCAATACACAGCAGACGTTGAGGTATCGAAATTCAAAGCAAAGATAGACAATGAGCATCTTTAGTGATAACATACCGGCTTATCCAGTCTCTGGCGCGCTGCCAAACGACCACGGCGACCGAACTCACGAGGCCACCAGGGCAGCCTCCACAAACAAGCTCCACAGCTTGTCCTCCCCGAATCGGGGGCAACCGAGCCACTGTCCCGGAGAATCGAACATATCAGCTCATATAAACCGGTTTTCACATTAAAGTTATACAACAAAACAAATATTCATCACATAAATTCAACTGAGTAGTTACCATATTAGATTCAGCAGTTACAAACCTCTAGAACCTCACTCACCGGTACCAAAATCCGGAGCACCCGCAACACATCCGCCTCCAATCATGGCGGGGAACGAAAAGACCGCCTTCCGCGCAGTCGGACTCGACATCAGAACCGGTCACGTGACTGCCAGCGCGGCATTCGAAATTCCGGAAAACACAATATCCGCTTACAACCAGCACAATCGGTGCCCTACGAGATAGTACAAATATTCCAATGATATTTCAAAAGCAATTAATTAACAACGCCATCTAATTAATGAAAACACGCGCACTATATCCCTACGCACAAGCGTTCAGCGGCCCGCCGCTCCAACGCGCACTTCGGCTCCTAGAGCCGCCGGTTTTATCGGGAAACGAGCACGAAGGATATGTGAAACGGGTCGGAAGACGGACAAGCTGCAGGAAAGGATAGGATAGGACGGGCGCCATCTACACTCCCCCCTTCGAATGACTGAGGCATTCGAAGCACAGGAGCGCCCGTCAAGCTGACAACCTCTACAAACCTGACGATCCGTCCACGAAAAAAAAAAATATTTATATATATATCTACCACCACACAACACTGAACCGATGAGCGTCCCGCTCACACTCTACCTATCCTACCTTACCGAGCCTGATCAGCCCTGTGGCTGACGGCAGCCTATTTCTAGACGGCACCTTACTTCTAACTTACTCTAGATCGGAGTCGGACCTCACCACTACCATCTTGTGTATTGGGCGCAGATACACAGAGGTGCTAGTCTTAACGAGAGCCTTTCTCACCTTGCCATCTCGGCTGGGAAGAACCTCCTGTACCTTCCCCATCTGCCACTGGCCTCGCTGCACATTCTCGTCTACTAGCAAGACTACATCCCCAGGCTCCAGGTTGCGAGACTCCTGCGTCCACCTCTGCCGAGACTGCAGTGAGAGCAGGTACTCGCTCCTCCAGCGAGTCCAAAATTGCTGCGCCAAGTACTGGACATGACGCCAACGGCGTCGGGAGAACGAGTCGGCCTCTCGAAACTCGCCTGGAATCGGCCCAGGACGGCCCCTCAGGAACAGCAAGTGTCCCGGAGTCAGGGGTTCCACATCGCCATCAGCGGTAGACACGTAAGTCAGAGGGCGGTCATTCATAATGGACTCTATCTCACAGAAGAGGGTCTGCAACGACTCATCGTCCACCCGCTGCTGCGTCGGCATGGACCTCCAAATCTTTCTGAACGTCCTGATTTGCCTCTCCACTCCACCGGAAAAGTGAGAGGCAGTTGGAGGGTTGAACCTCCAGTCGATACCCCTCTGAAGAGCAGCACGCTGGAGATCACGGCTGCTTACGTCCCTCAGCGCTTCTCGGAGCTCTCGATCAGCGCCAGTCATGTTGGTACCCATATCACTCCGCACCTGACGGATCTGCCCCCGGCGGGCACTGATACGTCGGACGGCGCTGATGAGGGAATCGGTGCGGAGAGAATCTAAAACCTCTATATGAACACCGCGCGTGACAACACAGATACACATCAGACCGTACCTTTTCTTCTCCCCCCGTCCAGCCTTAACTAAAATCGGACCAAATACATCTAACAAGACGGAAGAGAACGCTGGCGTGTCACCGGACACGCGCTCCTCCGGCAGGTCTGCCATCAGCTGCCGCTGAGGACGGGCATTGACCTTCCGGCACACGACACAGTTTCGGATCAGCCTCCGGACCTCCGGTCCGGCACCCAGAACCCAAAACCTCTCACGCAGCCTCCAGAAGGTATGGAGTCTGCCCTCGTGACCCACCTCAGCGTGAGCCTCCCTTATCACTAACCTAGTCACATGATGCCGCCTGGGCAGGATCACCGGGTGCTTGGCACTCACGGAGATACAGTCGGACCGCTCTAGCCTACCGCCCACCAGCAGCAGACCATCACTCAGTATAGGGCGTAGCTTCGCCAGCGGACTGTTCCGCCTGACGCTGACTGGACCATCGTCACACACACCGCTCGGGTACTCTGGCAGATCTCGCTGGACTCGGCGCAAGATCGCCAGCTCGGCGCCGCGTAGGTCTGACACCGTCAGAGAAGTCCGGACGGGCACTTCCCGGCGCCGCAGCCCTCGCCGTCTCGCCAAGCACCATCTTCGGAACTCACCGCTCCGAAGAACATCGATGAACCGACGGTACCAAGCCACCGCTCGCTTAAGTCTAAAATAGGAAGAAAAATGCTGAATCAGCACGTCACACGGCTGAGCCGAATCAGCTCCGACCGCTGTCAGGGCGACCGGCACCGACTTCACCTCACTCGCCGGCAGGGCGGACGGAACAGCAGGCTCCACCGGCCAGCAGTCGACGTCCCCCGCGAGAAAATCGGGCCCGCTCAACCAGGGTCCCAAGTCGGTCGGCGCACAGCCCCGAGAACCCACATCCGCTGGGTTCGCGTCCGTCGGCACGTATGACCACTCGCTTACCTCTGAGCCATCATGAATGTAAGCGAGCCTGTTAGCCACGAAAGTTTTGAATCGCGTCGTGCGATTCCGGATACAACTCAGGACTATCATGCTGTCAGTCCACATATGAACAGTATCAAATCGGGTGCCCAACTCCCTCTGCAGTACTTTCCTCACTCTCACCGCCAACACAGCGGCGGCCAACTCCAAGCGCGGAACTGACACAAACCTGATAGGGTTCACCAGCGATTTCCCCATCAGAAACGCTACAAACCGCTCCGTTTTACCCTCAGATGAGCGCACCTCCCGCCTGAGATACGCAACAGCCGAGTGCGCACTTTCACTGGCGTCAGCGAACACGTGCAGCTGGGTGGTCAGAACCTCCCCGGGTGGGCCCACGATAGATCGATCTAGCCGGACCAGATCCAGCTCTCTAGCCCTGTCCAGCCACTCTCGCCACTCTTCCGCCAGTACGGCAGGAAGAAGGTCATCCCAGCCACAAGAGAGAGCGCACAGCTTCTGGACCAACACGCGTCCCGTCACGGTGACGGGGGAGACCACACCTAAGGGGTCAAAAACAGAGCTGACAGTGGACAATACACCACGTCTGGACCAGGGCTTCTCCTCACCTCGGAACTGAAACCGGAAGGTGTCATCATCGACCGACCATCTGAGACCCAACGCACTCTCGGCGCAGAGTCGGTCCTTGTCGAGGTCCAGCTGTTTGACTTTCTTACCTCTGTCTTCCATGGGTACATACTTCAGGAACTGCGGACTGCTGCTGGTGAATTTAGTCATATTGAACGCTCCCGTGGCGCACAGCGCCTTCAGATCCCGTGCCAGATGCACAGCATCCTCAACGGAGTCCACAGCACACAGTGCGTCATCCACATATGTGTTGCGAATCAGAGCATCAGCGGCCTCCGGATAGCTCGATCTACCCTCCTCAGCGCACCGGCCCAGTGCGAAACTGGCGACACTCCCACTCGACACAGCTCCAAACACATGAGACCTCATTCGCCAGAGTTGCACATCTCCGTCCGGATCGTTGTCACGGAACCACAGGAACCTCAACATGCTCGTGTCCGACTCTGGTACATGCACCCTGTGGTACATGCTCTGAATGTCGCACGCAAAAGCGACCCGCCCCTCACGAAATCGACAGAGCACCCCCAGCAGGGAGTTCGTCAGAACAGGTCCCTTCCTCAGCAAGTCATTGAGACAGGTACCACCACTCTTAGCCGCGCAGTCAAATACCACGCGCAGCTTGCCCTTACCAGGCTCCCACACGCCATGGTGGGGGAGGTACCATACGGGACCTGTGACGTCATCGTCAGAGACTGGAACGGCGTACCCGTCATCGACCAGCGAGCTGATAACACGCCGGTACTGGTCAAAATACTCTGGGTCAGATCGGAACCGCCTCCGGAGTGAGTTCAACCGTCTGGCCGCCGTTCCGAAGCTGTCTGGCAGCTCTCCAAAATCGGTTTTGGGAAGGGGGATCTCAAAATGACCCTCCGAGTCCCGCCGGACGCCTGACTCGACGTCGGCTATCCACTCACGCTCCTCAAGGGAAAAACACTCACGGTCATCAGACAGGTCACCAAAGTCCCGCTCGTACATGGCTCGAAACTGACAGCCTTCCGAGCAGTGATCACGGACACTCTGGGTAACCCCATCATCAGAATCGGTCGCCCTCTCGACCCTCAGGAAGTTGACAGTCAGCCTGCCCCTCGAGACTGCTGTCCCAGGGACACGTCCGATCACATACCACCCCAACACGGTACGGATGGCACACAACCCCGCCTGGCCCTCAGGCGGAGCCCGGACCTCCCTGGCAAGAAGCAGTTCGGCACAGTTCGACCCAATCAGGATCCCCACAGGCGTGTCCACCTCTGTCAGCGCGACATCGGCGAGATGAGCGGCTGCCCTCAGCTCACTCCTCGGACACCTGTCCTCCTGAGTCACCGGCAGGGACGGAACGGTCATCAGAGGCGGCAGAGCATGGAAAGCTCCCCCTCTCGCATCGGCCACCTGCACGCCCGACGCGAGGCACGTCTGAATCCGCCTCTTCCCGCTCCCCACCGTCTCGAGCACAACACTCGTCTCCTCGGTCTGGAGTCCCAACAAGGAAACAAGTCCGTCAGTTAGGAAAGATCCCGAGGAGCCCTGGTCCAAAAATCCGTTAGTGACGACCACTTTGCCGTCTGGACCACGGAGGCGCACAGCCACGACCGGCAGCGCCGTCCGATCGACACCTTGGAGTCCAAGGCTCGCACTGATCACGGCTCCGCTGTGGGAACCCGACCCCTCACCGCCGGGAGGTGGCGCCACAAATCCACCACGAGGTGGCGCCACACCATCTCCGCGCGGCGGCACCACCGCCGCCTCGGGCCGCAACTCCCGGCCGCCGCCGGCACCACGCCGCGCCACCGGCGGCTGGGCGGAAACCGGAGGGGCAGCTGGAACACCACGAGCGTCACAGTCGGGGTCCCGGTGCATCACCGACGGGTGACGCCCACCGCAAGAGCGGCAAGTCAGCTGGCTCCTGCAAGAGCGGGCACGGTGACCCTCCCTGAGGCACCCGAAACAAAGCCCCGCTCGTAACACCGTCCGACGCCTCTCAGGCCAGGGCCTCTCAAACATCCGCTGGCACCTGTCCAGCTCATGGCGACCGTCACAAAAAGGACACAGCCCTGACCCCGCGCCCGGTCGTGTGACCCGAGCTGCGCTCACCTTAAACCCGGGAGAGGACCTGGACACAGCCTCACGGCGCGCGGGTTCGGCACTACGAGGACCGAACAGAGGATTCCGCTTTACACGGACCTCAGCGGACAGAAACCCGACCAGGTTCGACAGGCGCACGGTCGAGCCCTCCTGAAGGAGTCTATCTGCCTCTCTCATCCACCGATCCTGGAGGTACGAGGGCAGCTTCGACATGACAAGGCGCAAGTTCGTTGGATGATCAAATTCACTCAGTTCCACACTCTCCATCGCGTTCATGATCTCGGTCAAGAACAGAAGAAGCTGGTCCAGACTCTCAACATCGCCAGCGGCCACCTTAGGCCAGCCTCTCACCTGTTCGACATAGGAGTCGACCAGCCCCACACTGTTGCCGTAGCGAACCTCCAGGAGCCGCTTTGCCTCTGCAAAACCAGCCTCCCCCAGGTGGAGACACCCTCGCACGAGCTGGTTGGGCTTTCCCTTCGTATATTGATCGAGATAAAAAAGAAGCTCATCTGGGTCCTCAGTCTTTGTTTCAATACGGGCCTGGAACGATCTAGTAAATAAACGATAGTCTCTTATTTCGCCGCTGAACGGGCGGAGCTCTGCGGGGGGCAACAGGGACCGCTTGACCTGGGCACTGAGGGCCTCCCCCAGTGAGGGCTTACCCACCGGCTCGATCGGAACCTGCACCTGGGCCAACTCAGGCTCCACTAGGTGCCCTGCCTCTACCAACTCGCGTTCAAGTTTAAGCTGCTCCGACCTGGCCTGCAAAAGCGATTCGCGTGCCCTCACCGCCATCCGCTCCTGCTCTACGGCCTGTTCCTCCTTGAGGAGCTTAAGTTTCGCCAAAATAATCGATACATCTGTCGATGGCCCTCCAGTAGCTTCTCGGGGACTCACCTTATTCTCTGCCGGGTTTAACTGGTCCATCTCAGTCTCGAGGGCTGACCACAACCTATCCACTAAATCCTGCTTCTTACCGGTTACCTCCAGCCCACGGGTCTCTAATTCCCGTTGCAGCTCTGTCAGCTTCAACCTTCCCAACTCCTCCTTAGTAGGCGCCATTTCAGGGTGAGGGAATAGGAATCTGCACAGCGGGGATACCACAGACCTTCCACCCTCACTTATCTACTATCTAGACACTTAAAAACACTTCCCAGCACTGAGAGGATACCGCATTCCTCAGCAATCACTTAATCTAAACACCTTAACCTAGACACTTCCCAGCAATATAAAAACACACCACATAACACAATTTAAAACCAGCGCAGGACCACCACAGGATCACCCTTACCAGTCAACTCAGTCCAGCAGAAGCAGCAGGTAGCAGCAAACCTCAGACGGCCAGATCCTCCAGCTCCCAGCTCCGGCCGAACCAGGATGCCGGCACCAGGCAGCGAGGAGAGGCGGTCGCTGCTACTCAAGCAGATGCAGAGCTGAAGGTGCAGCTCCGCGAAAGATGTTTCCGCCAGAGGGGCACTCACCCGCTGGGAGCACCCTCTCAGCCCGTCCAGGGGCACACTACACTGCACGCACCAAGGGCGCGCACCACGCAGCGCCTCTCGCTGGCGCACACCACGCAGCGCCTCTCGCTGGCGCACACCACGCAGCGCCTCTCGCTGGCGCACACCACTCAGCGCCTCTCGCTGGCGCACACCACTCAGCGCCTCTCGCTGGCGCACACCACTCAGCGCCTCTCGCTGGCGCACACCACTCAGCGCCTCTCGCCGGCATACACCACGCAGCGCCTCTCGCCGGCGCACACCACTCTGCGCCAGCCAGCCGCACACCACTCCGCGCCAGCCAGCCACACACCACTCAGGCAGAATCCTGGAAGGCGCGGCGCGCAGCCGGTGCTGCAGCTCCAGAGGCAGATGAAGGCGCAGAGACTAAGCAGCAACTGTAGCTCCAGACGCAGCCGAAGGCGCAGAGAGGGAAGCCGCTACTGGGCTTCACCAGCAGATGAAGGCGCGGAGAAGGAAGCCGTAACTGTAGATGCAGATGGCCCCCGGCCACTGCTCGCGCCACCATCGCCCGCATCTGCTCCCTGCCACCCCTCGGTCACCTGGCCACCTCAGAGACTTGGCCGTGGACAGATCTGTATTGGACCGCTCTGGATCCCGTCTTCGATCATTTGATTGTTACTGCAAACACATCCACACAATACGAGCTCGAGTCAAATACCAGTTGGCACGATGCAAAATGGGTCACAACACAGCTCGGGTCCAAGAACTCTGTTTAACATTCTACAAGTAAGTAAATAAATCAAGCAATACACAGCAGACGTTGAGGTATCGAAATTCAAAGCAAAGATAGACAATGAGCATCTTTAGTGATAACATACCGGCTTATCCAGTCTCTGGCGCGCTGCCAAACGACCACGGCGACCGAACTCACGAGGCCACCAGGGCAGCCTCCACAAACAAGCTCCACAGCTTGTCCTCCCCGAATCGGGGGCAACCGAGCCACTGTCCCGGAGAATCGAACATATCAGCTCATATAAACCGGTTTTCACATTAAAGTTATACAACAAAACAAATATTCATCACATAAATTCAACTGAGTAGTTACCATATTAGATTCAGCAGTTACAAACCTCTAGAACCTCACTCACCGGTACCAAAATCCGGAGCACCCGCAACACATCCGCCTCCAATCATGGCGGGGAACGAAAAGACCGCCTTCCGCGCAGTCGGACTCGACATCAGAACCGGTCACGTGACTGCCAGCGCGGCATTCGAAATTCCGGAAAACACAATATCCGCTTACAACCAGCACAATCGGTGCCCTACGAGATAGTACAAATATTCCAATGATATTTCAAAAGCAATTAATTAACAACGCCATCTAATTAATGAAAACACGCGCACTATATCCCTACGCACAAGCGTTCAGCGGCCCGCCGCTCCAACGCGCACTTCGGCTCCTAGAGCCGCCGGTTTTATCGGGAAACGAGCACGAAGGATATGTGAAACGGGTCGGAAGACGGACAAGCTGCAGGAAAGGATAGGATAGGACGGGCGCCATCTACACTATGTATTTGTTGAGAGACTGCGGCCCAAATACGCTGTCTGCTGCTTGACAGGGGTGGGTTTCCCCCATCGTTCCGGGGCTCTCCGCGGTGACTGATCCAGTCTGCCAGCAGCCCCTGTTTATTCACTGGTCGTGCTAAACAACAGACGTTAGGCTGTTCGCGGCGTGGAAAACCCTGTCACTATCCACCGTTTTTGGCGGAGTTACATGCTTTGTGTTTGGTTGAAATTGCTGCAGAGTTATTGCATGAATGCAAGAGGACGTAGGCTTTGCTGGATGTGTCAGCGGATGGTTATCATTGATGAAAGGCTGTTTATCGTCTGCGCTTTTCAACACCGTGGACTCCCGAGCGATCCGCTTTTATGTCAATTTGTGGTGTTCCGAGTTATCTCCTTGCTGTTACCGGGATCTCCTGTGCAAATTGACGCCATATCAGCGTTTTCTGCTCGACCATCGCACGATTGCTTCACATGCCGCTTTACCTGGGGCGTGCGATATATGTGACCTCACAGAGTCATCATTACATGATCTACTGGGAATCAAACGATTGGCTGTTCTTATAGGCTGTCTGCCGCCGGTGCTGGGCTCGACTCAGTGGCCTCTCAGCTTGTCTTTTCAAAACACCGGGAATGGTAGCTCAGAGCCTTCTCAGAGCTACTGCGGTGAACATCACGTCAGTGCTGCCCAGATGTGGTCATCACAGTGGTCATACGGAAGAGGCGTTCTGTTATTGGTCAGCTAACGGTCCCTGGATGCGACCGGACCCGGTTCATCCAGCCTTTCCACGTGATGTTTTCATCGCTTCCCATCAACTGACCGCTCCGTCTCCGCAGCGGCCGTTCGGAGTCATTAAGCCGCTTTGGCGACCCCTCGTCCACCATGGTCGGGTCAGGGTCCGTCCCTGCCCCCCCCCCCCCCTCCCTCCCGGTACAAAGGGTTGGTATGCGGTGGCGGCGTCGCCGGGGGACAGGGCTCGGCCGGCCCGGCCGGCCACATGTGCCTCCGGCGCCGGCCCCCACGTGCGCGTCTAAAAATACTGGCGCCGGCGGGCGAACGGTCGCGCCGCCGCCGCCGCCGCCGCCGCCTCGGCCGCAGCGCGGTCACTGTGATGCGGTGCTGCGCCGGGGCGCCATGCCCGGCCGCCGGCGTCGCTGAGAGTGTAGGGGTGAGGTCGCGGCGGCTGGCCCGCGCGTGACGCGCTGCGTGGTGCGTCGGTAGTGCGTGAGTGAGGAGTGCGGGAGGTGCTGTCGGAGCTGGAGCGGGTGCAGGTACGGTGGCTAATCGGGGGCGTCCCGTGCGGTGGTGGTGTGTTTAGTGTCATGCTGTCGCTGGTGCTATGTGGTGCTGGTGACGCATGGTGTCGGACTGATCCTCTGAGACGCCGAGCGCGGTGTGTGGCGGCCGGTCCGCCGCGTGACCTCGGTACTGCAGCGGAGTGCGGCTCCCTCAGAGGCGCGGGGCCGGCGCCGGGTAGTGATAACAGGCGGTGCACAGCTGCTAACTGGGCGCTCGCCGCTCACAGGCCGCCGCCGTCAGCGCCGAGCAGCTCCGCCGGGGGCCAGGGCCGGGGGCTGCCGGACTGAGGTGACGCCGAGACGTTACTCTGGTTGACGCCTCACTGACTGGACGTGGTTGGACTGTTGTCCTTTGAAATTGGTTCTGATTTTCGCCACTTGTGATGTTAGCTTCTTCTTAAATCGTTATGCTGTCACATTTCTCAATTGGATTTAATCGTTGAATCCGTTGGCTCTCCATTTATCGACGTCGCGTACATAGTCTTCACTCCCTCAATGTGTCTGCGCCATGTTTGTGGCTACGTCTGTATCGACCCCTAACACCTGATCGGACTTGTCAGACCCGACAGTTGTCTCTGACTGTCGTCTGTCTCTCGGAGATTGTTGGTCTGGCGCAGACTGATAGAAGTCGACTGTCGTCTGTCTCTCGGAGACTGTCGGGCTGCAGTGGACGGACAGGTATGGCTGTCGTCTGTCTGTCGTAGACTGGTCTGTCTCCCGGAGACTATCAGAGACTGTCGGAATGGAGCGGACGGACAGGTGTGTTGTTTGTCATCTGTCTCTCGGAGACCCGTCTTCGGGAGACTTGCAGGTGTCTATGGACGGTGGGGTCTGGTCCTCGCGGCCCGGAACTCCTCACTTGGGTGCCGCGGACGAGGGGAGTCATCTGAGAAGGGGACAGGGGTAGACGTTTAGCCCGACCCTGCGGTGGGGAGGGTGGAGAGATTACGCAGCTGGTGGGAAGGGTACGGGGACGGCGTGGGTAAGGGCGGGAGGTAGGCCGGCCCGGTACATTCACTGAGGTAGTGAGGTAAGGATCGGCAATCGTTGGGAAGTGCCGCCACTGATTAATTGACCCTTGCAGCTTTGCTAGGCTCCCGCGATTGTCAAAAATGAAGCCTACATTGGCTTACCTAGGTGAGCATATAGTCAGCGGATGGCCGTGCTGGCAGCTCCATAAGTGTCTTGTCTTATCGCGTCCTGCATGGTGGTCGCCATGGTCTTCTTGCTGTCTCCGCCGCCGCCGGTGACCCTGCCGGCCGGCCGGCTGTCACCGTTTGGCAGGCCGCCTGCCACAGGTGTGCCCGCGACCCCTCCGACCCCGCCGGTTAGGGTGGCTGGTGATGGCACCACTGGCGATGATGGTGCAGGTGGTGACGGCCCAGTTAGAATTGTAGGTTTGTTGTTTGCTGGGCGTAGTGGTGATGCCGCTCTTCTGGTTCAGCTGGGCTTGGCGCAGTACCTTTGTGCTGTGTCTGGTCACTAGTTGAATGCATTTTCTATTTTTTTTCCTGACTTGTTTTCGTTTCACTTTCACGTCGGGTTTTTAGCGAGTGACTGTGGCTTTGATATCGGTCTAGGCTGCGGTTTTCGTGGCTAGTCCTTGTCTGAGGACAGTGCTTTGGTTTGTTTTGTTGGGACGGTGCTGGCTCTCGACTGCGTCATTACGGCCGCTGCGTCGTAAATCGGTGGTGATTTGGCAGCGGAGTCGACACCACATCGCCCGGCACAGCCAGCGCCGCAGTCCAATTGCGCGGGTATACTACGGTGGTGAGCACCGCCTTTGACACTACCTTCTCCGCCTGGCCTTCTCTGTTTGTGGCTGTGAGTTCGACAGCCGGAGCCAACGTCTTCTGACGACGGCGGGTGGCTGTCGCGTCACTCGGCGACATGTCTCGTCCGTCTCTGAGGCGGAGTGTCACGGCCGGTCGCGTCACCGCTCGTCACGGCGCGCCCTGGTGACGTCACGTGTGGGTCGCCGTGACGCCACCGGCCGGCTGTTTTGGCGGCGGCTCCGTGTCGCCGATCTGTGACGTCAGCCGCCGGCTCCGTCTGGTGCTCCTGTCACCGTTTGTGGGCCGAGTGGCTGCCACGGATTGGTTACCAGGCGCAACGCGGCCACTGCTGACGGCAGCCTGAGGTGATCTCCAGGCCTGGTGTCGGGGTTATGGCCCGGGGCTGCTTGCTCTTCAGCTGCCCCTGGGACCGATTTCCGGGAAGTGCCATCATCAGGATGGTCGAGCGGGGTGTCTGGGTTGTTGCTAACGGCTTCTGTCGCAAGGAATTACAGATATCCTGGTCTGGTCTTTCTCATGTGGCTGACCCGTTTAATCTCGCGTGATATCAAACACTTAGCAACATTAGATCGATGGTTATTTGAACTGTACCGGCGGTGAATACACTCACCAGTCACCAAAGTAACCATATCCCGGATAGAGCCTTCGGTGGCATTTATTTACATTTGAATGAGTTGGGTTTTAGAGCATAATTAAAGCATGGCATCGAATTGAGGCGTCGAATATCAGGGCCATGCAGGACATGGATTGATATTTCGTTTGCGTGTTCGGAAAACAAATCCTACCAAAATTCTGTGGAATGCGTCATTACTGTTATGTTTAGCCATAGGTACTAGTAATTGTTGATTCGACTCAGCTTCCCTGCGGAATTGCTTTATTTATGGACCAAACACTTATCTTTTAACACCTGAGCTGTCAGATCAAGATGGCCATTTTACCCCCACCTGAGTTGCCGGGTGAACGCTCCCCTCCACACCACCCACCCTGCCAGACGGCCACTCCCACCCCGCTCCGTCCGTCAGGCCGCCTGCCCTGCCAGGCGCCGGTGTCGCGGTGCGGCCGGTCATGTCTGCCGGCCGGTGCCAGAACCTCCCGCGCTGCATACCGCCGCCGTCCGTACCCGGATAACCCCCTGTACCCCCTCCCCCTCCCATTCCCTCCAGACCTCACCCCCCCCCCCCCAGACCTCACCCCTCCACCGGACCCGGGAACCGTGCGACCCGGGCGGTCCTGGGCCGCGGTCATACCGTCCAAAGTGCTGCCAGGCACTAGACAGAGCGGTCAGCCGGCAGCCGGACCTGCCTGCTCCCAGCTCAGTTGCGTCAGAGCTGAACATCCCCGGGCATTCGCCGGGATATATTGGAGCCGATAGGGCGCGGCGCTGCTGTTGCCATGGCCGGTAGAGTGATATACCGGGAAGTACCGCTGTTGGAGGCTCGGTAAATTGCCGATCAAACTGGTGTGGCGATGTGGATATTATCCAGAGGTGGCATTGATCTCTGAACCGTCAAGGTAGCGGCCACGGCGTCAGCTGCTAAGGCAGCTGTTGAATTTGTTGAAATTTGTCAGCACCAATGGTTCTGATGGAAGTTACGGATTAAATGCTTCTTTTTAAAGCGATGCCGGCACCGCAACAGCGCGTCCCTAATACAGTCCCAGACCACCAATATCGGCGTCTGACATTCAACGTGGCATTTAGGATGGCCTCCGCTATCAACTGTGCTATCTCGCCATGAACGCTTCACTTATTTATAACACATTTAGCGCGGGTAGCCTGAGAATGCAACGCTGTATCCCCAGCTGTGAGGGGCCGTTGCCGGGCGGATGTAGATCCCACTGCAGAATCTACTGATTTATTTCATTGGCCGTGGGAACCTGCGGCCCGGACTCCTGTCGTCGTATTTTTGCCCCTGGGAGGTCTTGTCCGTGGTTGGTTCGTGGCTGATGTGAGGCGATGTTATCTGTGATAAATACCTATGAAGCGATGTTATATGTGATGAATATGACTACCGTTTTGTTAGAAGCCCCGGCCTGATCACAGAGCCTCAGGTCTGGTCCGCTATTCGCGCCTGTATGACAGGTCTGATTGTTTCTTCTCTACACACATCTGACTCCCTGTCTCCTCTCTCGACAGAACATAGCATGAACCAGCCGCTGGGTCTGGTACAGCGGCGGAGCGGCAGTTTTCCTGGCGGCGAGGTGGGCGGCGGCAGCGGCGGCGGCGGGGGCGGCAGCAACGCGCCCGGCGGCGGCGGCGGCGGCGGAGGCGTGCTCTCCCCGAGGTCGGAGAGCGGCGGACTCGGGGTGAAGATGGTGGAGTACCTGCTGAGCAGCTCACCCACCGCGGCGCCGGGAGATAACAACCAGCTGGAGGCGCGCATGCGCGGAATGGCGCTAGTGGTGAGTATTGTAGTAAATGGGAGATAACTGGGTGTGGTGTTGGGTCCAGATAAGAACGGAGATAACCCTGGGGAGTAGAGAGGAGGTTATCTTTGCTACTCGGAAGGGTCTAGATGTGTAGTTCAAAGGTCACGTGAGGTTTTGGAAGGTACGAGGAGAAGCGGGCGTCAGTCTCCCGATGGTGGTGGTACCGGCTATGTGTGCTGTGCATTGGTGCTTTTAAAATCCGTCTGAGCCTTCTTTGCCAATTTTGATTATTTAGAATCTGCTTTGTCCGTGTGCGGAAACATCTGTAGCTGTCTTCCAACTGGTTCAATTACCCTGATGCGACCTCCCGGTCGTTCATCCTTCCGTTTCCGTCCCGTCTCCCCTGGTCATGACCCGTTAGCTGACCTCTGGTGACCTGACCCGCAGTCGGCGCCCGAGGCGGAGGAGAAGGACAAGGCGCCGTCGCCGTTCGACGCTCAGCCCGAGGACGCCGCGCCCGTGGCGCCGCCCAACGGACTCGTCCAGAACGGACTCGACGACGACTCGAAGGCGTTCAACCGGACGCCGGGCAGCCGGCAGCCGAGCCCGGCCGAGGAGCCGCAGCAGGGCGGCGGCGAGGTGGCGCCGCCGCCCCAGCCGCCCGGCATGGCCCTCGACGCCGCTCACTTTGGCTCTGTGATGATGGCCGCGCCCAACGGCGGCATGGGGTTCGGCGTGCCGCCGGCGACGGCAGCCGCGCTGCAGCCGCACCTGGGCCACGCGCCGCCCCACCCGGCCGACTCGTTTGGAATGATGCACGGCGGAGTGGAGCCGCAGCCGCCGCCGCATCACCAGCCGCACCATCAGCCCCATCACCAGCCGCACCACCAGCCGCCGCACCACCAGCATCAGCAGCACCACCCGGCGCTGCATCACCAACAACACCATCCGCATCACCACCACCAACAGCAGCAACAGCCGCAGCAGCAGCAGGCGCCGCCGCCCCCGCCGCCTCAGCAGCAGCAGCAGCAACAGCCGCCGCAGCAGCCTCAGCAACAACAGCCGCAGCAGCAGCAACAGCAGCAGCCGTTCGACCAGCAGGTGAGTAGGGAGACATCTGTCGGGGAGTTGAAGAAGCTGTGGCTAGCCCCAGGCTCAGTAGATGGCGGTGGTATGCTGGGTCCGCGGCGGCCCGCCGTTTCGCTGAGCTGGTTATTGAGCTGCACTCTCCGCCGGTAGCGGGCCATCGAGATAGCTCTGTTTACTACCCGTGGCGTCATTTAAGTGGCGGGGGGCCACGCGAGCCACTAGTTTATGGCAGGGAGGTGCGCCCAAACACTGAAATGGGCGGGTGAATTTTACGACCGGCTAATCTGCCTTGTATTGAAAGTTGGGTCATTTGACCAACCAGAAGCATATGTCGAAGTCAATTTAAGGACATCTCGCTATAAAACACATTCGGCGATTTGTTTTGAAGCTTATTCTGACTGTATAAAACATATTATCAAGCATTTTTCCTCTAGTGTTGGTGTGTAGCGGTCCCGGACATTAGCACTACACGCTCTAGTATTGTTATCGAGTACCGCGTACTTCATCTCCAAGTGGCTCGAATCGAGATACTTCATTTGAGTGGGATGACACCCACTTCGCGTTTTACCATAGAAACTACCTTCGCGATCAGTCGCAATCTTCGTCACTAGTTTATTGGCCCGCTCTAATGTATTCCACCGTCCGCTGTTATCTCGGGGAGTTCTCATTTCCCCGGCTTCGCGCGCACCATTCGTATCTATTTCTCTCCGAATCTGGCCACTCCACCGCCCGGGTCGCAGGCTGCTCTCCTCTGAATTTACGACGCGTTCGACCGGCCCTCGCGCGCGCTGCCCGACGGTAAGTAGGCTGCAGCGCAGGCAGAAACGGCGAAATATTCGCGAAAGATTTGCAAACAGCGTCTGGCCGGCCACCGGGCGGGCGGGCGCGTGACCGTGTTGCCAAGGAAGCTGGATATGGCGCCGGTGGGAGACGAAACACGATAGGGAGAGGGTGTGTAGCGTGCGTGGGGTGGGAACGGTTTCTGATTAAACTGTTTGCGTGTTGAGTGCTAGCTGGCGCCGGAAGGATTCAATTTCTCTTTTTTTTTCTCTTTTTTTTTGCTGTGCCGTTAAATGTGTTGTTGGAATGCGGTTTGCGCCAAAGATCAATGCTAGTTTCCTTTACACCAAAGGCTGGTTGACTCAGCCAAAAACAAACGCGGACTGTCTTTCAACCAAAACCTGCCAATCGAAAGTTGTTGGGTGTTACGACCCGTAGACATCAGTATTCGGGTCTTACGTGCCAGACCATTATGGCTGGCCCGCTATCTCACTTTGATGACTCTGGCTGACCCGCCGTCTCTTTTATGATGTTTCTATGACTGGCGGCGCGGGGGCCCAGTGACGATGGTGCCGGCCCCACCCCGCCGTCACCTCGCTCTGTAGCCTCGCTATGTCACCAGTGAACGAGTGATATTGAATTTTATTTGATAGTCCGGAGGCGGGGAAGAGTAACGACCATATCATGCCGAAAATATCAGGAGACAGAGCTGTTGGACAGGATGTGATGGCCCAGTCGTCATTGGTGCATATCAATGCTGAGGGTGTCCCCAATGGGCAGTGGGTATAGCCGCTAAGTGGTGGATTGTCTGCTTAGAATACACACATGATGCGGAGAACGGTTGGAAGAAGGCATGGAGTATTCAGTTCACCTTGCTGATGGCTGCATCAAACTGAGTGCGGACTAGGGATATTGCCTCTATCACACGCTTCTCAATAGAGAGGTCTGGCACCTCCATTCTATGTTCGAGTTTGCTTATCACTTTCCATGTTGTTCCACCCACTCAAGGCATCGCACTCTTATCACTTCTCTTCGCTCCGCTGAGCCTGTCTCGTCGGCATTTTCCGTTGCCGTCGGCGGCGCGACTAGCAACACCCGGCGGTGCGCTGTGCTGGCTCAGCCGTGAGGGGCTGGTCGGCTGCCGACAAGGCCCGTCCATTAGTGTAGAACACGGCTGCGGCACGGCTCCCTCCCCTCCTCCTGCTGGGACGAGGCAGTGGGGGAGCCGACCGGGCCACCTGGGATTGCGAACGCACTGCGGATCTCTGGACAGGTGGTAGTTGTTGATGTCTCTGACTACTGACTACTATCTCTGACTATATGTCTGACTACTGTCCCGGTAAGCCTAGAGGCGCCTGTGAGTTGGCACTCATGCATCGGCACATTCGATTGTGTTCGTTCCACCTCCCATCCCTACGCATCCAACTCCGTACTAGTCATTTCTCTTTCTTATGCACTTTTCTGGACATCTATTACATGAGAGAGTTACGGCCGCCGCATACCCAATGTGGCGCAGCACCATAAACCAGCAGTAATGATCGCCATTGTCATTATCACTGACGCCGTCGGGCTACCGCTTCCTTGCCGTCCGTCTTCCTGCTGCGCCTTCGCCGGGCCGTGGCCGAATCCCGGGTCCCAAAGTATAAGGTGCAAGGTATATGACTACTGGGTTGTTCGAGGTGAGGCAAACTGTCGCACTGGACACATCCCCACAGAAATGCCACGACGATCCTAGCGAGATGACAGCAGAGCAGGTTGGTCAGTTGCCATTGGACGAGAGACTGTGCTGAACTGAGAGAAGAGGCTATAAAATGGCCTAGCTAACGACGCAGTAGGCCAGAGAAAGGGTAGCAAGAACAAAGGCTGTGCAAGATCAGACCAAGACGGGATTATTGTTACTGAATCGGACAAGGACCGCATGGGGTTGGACATGGACCGCACTAGTCAAGAACAAGTGCCCTCCTGGACTAAATCTGCGCAGAAGAATCGCACCGGAGATCGCCCGCGCTGTTTCCGTGATGGATGACTCGCGCGCAGTGGCGGTGGGTTGCGTGTCACTCCTGCTGCAGAGTCCAGTTAAACCCTTGCCGCCGCACCGAACGCCGCTCGCTGCAGTCTCGTGGTCGCCTCCGGCGCCGGACAGGGTAACCAACCTTACGCAAAGAAGGCTGAGGTGCCCTTCTGCCTGCCCTTCGCGTCCACCCGGCCGGCGACCCCTGCGCAGCGGCGCACTCACGTGCAGGAGGAGGTGAAGGGTGCAGGGGTCATTCCCGATCGTGAGAGGCGCTCCGCAGTACAGGTGTTTGTGCTGGGAGCGAGCCACACCGGGCCGAGCGGCGAGGTTTAACCGTGTACGAGCGATGATACTAAAGCCGAGAGGGGGGTTAGTGTGGTGTGTTTGGAATAAAGAGATGGGAAGGAGCGGAAGCGGGTGAAGCGGATTTGGTACGAGCGCGGCCTCGGTTATAAAGATGAATGGTGGCGGTCGGATTGTTCAAAAGCGGCTGGGATGCAGAGCTTCCCGTGTTTGGCATAACAGCATAAGTGATGAGAGAGAAACAGGCTTCACTCGAACAAGCAGCGATGTGGTAACACATTGAAAGATAAGAGGCATTGGTGCAGGAGCGCGGGTACGCGTGTCATAGTATAGGGAACGGCGAACCGGCCCGCCATAGACGGATAAGACAGCTGATAGTTGTATCATAAACGTGATAGACGTCATACAAGTGCCATATACGGGCTACCAGCCATGTGACGACAAAGTATCAGGGACAAAAACCATCCCTCAGCGTAGATAGGATCGGGACAATATTGGAGTCCGTGCGGTATCAGCACGCGGCGGGATACACTTTCGCCGGGAGAGATGCTGAACCGTTGAAAGTGTCTTGGCTGGTGGCGCCCTGTATGGGGGTTGGGGGTAGAATCGCTTGTATAGTTCTGTTGCTGTTGCAGAAGTCTCAAAAGTGGTCCGTAGCTCTGCCTGCATGCTAGTGGATTCCTCGGAGAAGTCACAAGCGACATAGTTCAGAAAGACTGTGGAAATAGGTAGGGCTTCCGATTCCCCTCTCAGGATCCTTTGACGGTAAAATTTATAGTCACCGTGGGTAAAATCATGCAATATTGAAAGACACGCGAGACATGCTCTGAGATGCAAACGCACGATACTGCGTCGGCGATACACTGCTTTCGAGGTGTCACCTGTAAGGGGCGCGTTGAAAGCAGGGGCATAATGAGCCTGCTGTTTCCCGCCCCTAGGTCCGCCGGTTGCTGGTTTTAACTTGGTGTTGCAACATCTCAGAACTAGCATCATTTTCCACGTCGTTGTGCGCAGTTTCTTTCATGTTTGCTTCATACCCTACGCTCATTAAATAGCGGCCTAAAGGGCTCCGTTGTGCGTATGAGCCCTCCACACCTCTGACGCGCCGTGTACCGCTAGTTCCGCAGCGGGCGGCAGGGACAAGGGCCGGCCCGCACACCCCACGTGCCGGCGTCCAACGGGCGGCGTGCAGCGATGCAGTTTACGAGTACACAGCCTCCTATTGAGCCGGGCACCGCTCCCTATTGTGATTGAGAGCCTCATCCGCCCCGGACGGCGACCCCCGATTGCTCAAGAGCAAATTCCTGCGAGCGCGCTGTGCTGCTCATTTGGACGAACCGGTGCGCGGCCGAAATGTAAAATCATCCCGGGGCTGTTCCGGCCCGCGCCGCGGCGCTGCTTCCCTGCGGCCGACTCCTAGAAGGAGCTCAACAACACACGTATATGAGTGGTAGTTGGTGTCCGCTCTGCGGCCTTGTGCGGCCCGCGAGCGTGCCGATTTCTCCCCTCCATACCGCCTCGCGTGAGCGTCTTCTGCGCACTCTCCGCATTGCAGTGGCAATCGGGCGGCTTTTTACACGCCGCGTGCGCCAACCACCGTCATTAGGAGACCTTTCGTCGTGCCTTCCGTACGTGCGACCTTCTGAACATCGCGCACACGCGACATACGTGACACATTTCCTGTCTCGATGAAATAGAACAAGCCAAATGACAGGATGAATCCGCTTGCCCGTCTTCCTAATATTCCCGAACAGCTCCCAGCTGAGACCAATATTTCGGCCGAGTGGGTGAAATTCCGCCCAATCATCGTCATCCTTCGTCGTCTGCGGCGGTCGGAGCTGCTCCCCAGTCGCACGCGCCGCACATTTCGCTGCCGGAATGGGCTCGAACCGACGAGCAGAGGCGCGGGACCGAC